AAGGCATGACGGCACATTGGGTTCAGTCTTCTTCAAATCATTCAACATGGTTGGAATTTGGTGGGGTATTGGAGGAAGAGTAGATGAAGACTTAGACTGAGACCAACCATGAAGGCTTGTATGTCCTGCTAAGAATTTAGACTTCCTCTCTCAGGCTGTGCATAGACATGAGTGATTTTGAGTTGAGGGTTAACTGGTTAAGATATGTGTTTTGGGTAGCTCATTGTGGCTATGACATGGAGCATAAACTGGAGCCCAGTTAGGAAGCTCCTCCAACTTCCAGATGAGAAAGAACAAAGTCCTGGGCCACAGCAGTGATAAAGAGAGAATTGACTGAGAGAGCATTTGGGATGTAGAAGCAACAGGATCTGTTAACCAGTCAGATTATGGGAGGAAACAGAGAGGGACAAGTCAAGGAGGCAGTTCAGGTTTTTGGCTGGGCTCATTGAGGGGACAGAGGAGTCATTTTCATCATCTGGGTCTATACTTGAAAGGACAGGTTTGGAGGAGGGTTTGGGATGAGGTTAGTACTGAACACACAGACATTCTGGTACCTGTAAGGACATTCAGATGTGTCCAAAAGGTGTTTGGAAATGTGAGTTTGGAGAGGTTAGGGTTGGAGACAGAGATCGTGCCACTTATATATGTGATGTTCAATGATGTTTTTAAAGATTCATGAAAGTGAATATGTGAGCTAATTTGCTCTTCTAAATAAAACTTGAGAAATACCATAACTGAGTGATTTGCAAATTAAGTTGAAATAATAGGTAAGTCTTAATCCTCCAAGACCCGTAGGAAAAAATAAAAAGGGAAAGAGTAGAAAGTATTTCACATTCTATCACTTAGTATGAACAGGAAGTGTTGCATCTCCCATTTTTGATTCTTTAACAAAAATGAGAAGGAAATGTCTTTTACTTATTAAAATCATAACAAAAATTAATCAAGTCTCTTTTTTTGGAAAATACTCAAGTGGTCTATTTCAATGACTATCACTGCCTCATCCAGAATTTATGCTTTTGTTTTTTCTTTAAGAACATTACTTACTTTTATAGAGTTCTGAACAAAACTGAGCAAAATAGAAAGGAATATATTTCTACCTCATTGGTCTTGATGACTTTCTAAAAAGCTCATGCATTATGATGGATAAGATTAATGAGACCACATAGTGTTAAGCACCTTGGACTTTCAGAACAAAGGGCTTTTAGAAGAACAAAGTATCATTATTAATGACACATCATTTACAGTTTTCATCGGTAATGTAAGGTTTCAGCAACTTTAATAGGAACTTAGGAGCTCAATGTAGAGGGCAAGGCTATTAGCTAAGGTTCTTGACACTAATACCTTTTGCTTCTAAGGAAAAAGATAAATCACACTCAAATTGATCAAAAGACAAGCTGAGGGGTTCAGAAGGAGGTGAGCCACCATCCACTTACTGAATTTCTCAAAGGCTCTGTCATCAATGAGCCCTGCTGGTGAGCCCTGCCCTCTGCATGGGCTTCCTTCCCTGGCTGCCAATTCCTTGCCTTCTGGGGACCCTACTGGCCCAGAAAAAAAGCCTCATGCTTCATACCTCCTTTCTCTTTTACTCTCCCTATCCTGTCTCTCTATAACCCCCAGTCTATGTTGGATTTCATCACTGCAGGATTTTTTTCTGTCCTACATGAACTTGGACAGCCAAGTACATTAAATAAAAGAATGCCAACGTGTTCCAGTGACTTAATTGACATGAGTAGCAATAACGATGGCAATCCTAATGCAACGTGGCAAGACAGTGGGGAAGTATTTTTTTCTGAATACATATTGTTAGTCTTATCAGGGAAATTATGTAGGATGCCTATGTACATGGCACCAACACTGTTAGACAATTTTGGAAATTCTTTACAAAGTGCTGCTCTTATGTAAGATTTCTTTAGGAACTTAATTTGTTTCAGTCAGATTCACTAAGGCCTTCTTAGTGACTCTTTAAAACTGCTCTGTTTTTGTTGGAGGAGAATTAAGTTAAATTCTGCTAGAGGAAAAAATTTAAAGTTAAAAATATCTTTAAAATTCACCCTCTAAAATCAACCAGCTCTGTTTTAGGTAGACAAAAAAAATCTGGGACACAAAGAAATGCCCAGTAAAATTAAAGGAAGGAGGGAATTTACTTTTATTACAGAAACGGATGACTTACATCCAAGGGCATATAAGGAACTGGTTGATAACATTGCAGCTCTACCAACAACTCTCTTTGAGAGAAGTAATTCAAGATAGATGAGCTCTCCAATTACAGGAAGAGGGCAAGCAACAAAGTGAGGCAGAAAATGTTGTGATTATACATTATAAAGTGATATTTGCTCTAAAGGAAATTCCAGACTATTATTCTGTCTCTGAGTTTTTAACAATTACATAGTTAGCAAGTTGTTTAGTGGATTTGATTTGATTGTGGAGATACCTGGAAAATCTCTGGTACTCTGTTTTGGGAGCTCTCACCTACCACTTTCTCTTTTGTTTGTGCTTTTGTTTTACAAGGTAGGTCAAAGCTCATTTCTGGTCAAATTGTTGTTCACTCTTTTCTTTCTCCTTCCTAGAAGATACATCTCTAGGTAGGAAACAAGACAACATAGGAATTCCAGTCCAACTGGAAGCCCGAGACACCAGAAAAAATGCACAGAGATCATTACAGGAAAATGTTTCACATTTTCATTTTAAAGTTTCTGTGCTTTATAAGCCTACATACCCAACAAATAATTGCAGTTTACAATTCAAAGAAAATGCAGAGGTAAGACTGCTATGACCACATTCTTTAATAACTTTTAATATTAAATTTTTTAAAAAATTGACCATTTATTAAATTCAGACAATAGTTGAGGACTATCTAGCTCATATACATGTTGATGTTCATATAAGTCCAAATTCTGTTTTAGAAATTCAACAATTAATTGATTTTAACTGAGCTTTATTATCAAAAATAATTTTCTTGTTGCAATATAAATCTGCTATTAACAAATGAGCAAGGTGGTTGGTACTGTTTGTGCCTTTAAGATCATAGTTCAAAAGAATTAAGCAAACCTGATAACAAAGATAAGATAAACATAACCTTTATTCTCTTTCAAGAACCCAGAGGAAAGAGCCTGGAACCATATTCATTAACTTAATGAGAATCAGAATCGCTTAAATTTCATGGTCTCATTTAAAATGTTATAGCAATAGACTTGAGTATTCTAAGAACGATAGCAAAATACATGTTGCTCTCAAATACATAGTTAAAAAATGTAATAACTCTCTTAGCCAATTTAGAGGAGGGCTGGGCTGGTGAGCTACTCAAACATTCACAATAAATAAAAATTACTCAATGTACATATAATGATCACGTTTTCATAGCCTAAAATCCCAAAACAAAATCTGACAATAAAATTGTGTCATAGTCAGGAATTAGGAAAGTATTTTTTGGTATACAGAAATGGTGGGACAGAATCTTCTAAATCATAATTGTCCCAGAAGACCCAAGACAGACATCAATACATACATACTGCCCACTGCTCAGTAATCTCAGAACTAGAATAGAGTAAAATAAAATCAATACAAGTCAAAATTTCTTTGTCTAATAAAAATTCAATACAATTCAAAATTTCTTCATCTAATAAAAAAAATACTTCAAGATCTTCCACTGCCTTAAAGGAATGAGCATAAACAGTAGCAACTGGAAAGTAGCTGTAACAGACAGCAGACACTGGAGAATTCTTCTTCACAAATGCCAAATAACTGTGTTTAGCAAATAAACCAGTAAGATGATATCATGATGGGGTTTTTTTTCAAGTTTTTATTTTGCCATAAAAGGAGGTTTTTTAAATAAAAATGTTCTATTTCTTCTCAGGATAACTTTATACATATTGATTAATGTTAATAAAATCAATTGAATGATTTTAGTCAAGTGTTTTAACATTATCTCAAAGGTTCAAATAATCTTAAAATTCTAATTTACAGATAAGACTATATGCCATCCAACCTCAGCCACCAAAAAAAAAACACACAACATTATGCCTTAGCATTCATTTAAACATAATTACTAGAAACTTACATGTTTCATTTGAGAATATAAATTTAAGTTTTGTTCCAGATCCAAGGGAAAGGTATGAATAAAGCCCTCTCACTAAACATAAAAAATAATAATAGATTTTGAAAAAGAGGATTCAGACAAAAGTCAGGAGACATAGATGTGACTTTAGGGAAATTACTTTCCTTGTGAGATCCCTTCCAGCTATCTGATTCTAAAATTAAAACATTCCCTCTGAACTGTACAGACTGCATCTTCAAGTTTCTACACAGTACCTGGTGAAGTTTGAATGTCTGTTTTTACACTAAAATATTACACAAATCAACACAAACCCTGTCCTGCAAATCTATCCGCCAACTAGTTTTCTAGAGATAGCAGTTTTTATCCCCATTCATTCTATAAATCATCAAGAACTTCCTACATTCAAGGCAAAGTGCTAAACCAAACCTACAACATGATTGTCATTGCTCCTGGCAACAAATTACAATCTGAAAAATTCGATTTAGGTGACTGCTTCTGGCAGTCACCAACCTAGCTTAAGGTAATGATTCTCAAATTTGAGGGAATACAGGAATCACCAGAGGAGCTTGTTAAAACACAGCTCCAAGGGTCTCATGCCAGCACTTATGGTATCAGAATCTCTGGGCGTGGCACCTCCTAATCTACTTACACATTTAACACGTATATTCTCCTATCCCCCACCCCTCCATGCCTCTGCAGGTAATTTGTGGGCCTCACTCTATCCCAACCTCCCCCTCTCCCCACAAAAAGGAAAAGCTCTAGACTCAGAGTCAGGAGCTAACTGCCAGCTAGCTGCCTAATTTTGAATGAGTTGTTTAACACTGCTACGTCTCTCAATCTCTTCATCTGACATGGGTTGAATAGGAGTCTCTACCATCCCTTCCGCTCTCAGGTGCTACAGACTTTAAGAATCTAACATGTCAACTCAGTGTTGTGAAAGAGGTGAGGACAATTTGCAAGACATGTTTCGCTCTGCACTACAAACACCCTAGCAAGAGAGTCCAGCAGCCCCCAAGAGAAAGGGGTAATTCCTTTCTCTGGACCCCTCATCCACCACGGGAGGAAAAGTGTGGCAAGGTTGGAATTGGGTGAGGGGTGGAGACGCCAAAAGAAGCTTGCAATAGTTTTGGCACGCAGCAGGAAGGGTCCTTGTAAAGCTGGAATCAGTCGTCGTCGTCGTCGTCGTCCTGGTCCTGGTAGCGAATGTAGATGACCAGCATGACAAAGCCCGTGAGGATGCAGAGGGAGCCCACGACCAGGTAGGCGATACCCAGGAAGGGGTTCTTGCCGCCCATCCACGAGATGCTGCTGAAGATGAGGAGCTTGTGGCCGCCGAACGCGCGCACCGGGTAGTTGTAGGTGATGTTGACGCGGTAGGCGCCCCGCGGCAGCCCGGCCGAGTAGTTGCCCTGGCGGATGCGCGCGTACAGCTTGCGGAAGGTGGGCAGCGCGGCCGTGCGCATCCACACCACGAAGTCCTGGTTGATGAAGCCGGTGTTGTTGGGGTCGGAGCTGAGCTTGTAGACCGGCCGGTGCCAGTTGGGCGGGGGCGCCGTGCCGCGGAAGGCCAGCGCCAGGCTGCCGTTCACCAGCGGCGGGTTGCGGAACTTGACGTGGTAGTCGGTCCACCAGGCGATGCCGGTGCGGTCGAGCGGCACCTCGACGTAGGGCCCGCCGGGCACGCGCTGGTGCCACACGGAGAAGGAGTCGTTGAAGAGGCTGTTGGCGATGGCGCCGCAGGGCGCGATGGGCAGGCCGGCCGCGCTGCGCTGGTAGGGGGCGCACTCGTTGGTCGGGTGGCGCAGCGCGCTGGCCAGCCCGCTCAGCTGCTCGTCGTCGCGGGACACGCCGTAGCGCCGGTTGTTCTGGTAGAAGTTGGTCAGCTCGTAGTAGAGGTACACGGGGCCCTGGAAGAGCTCGGGCAGCGAGAAGTACCAGGCGCACGAGCAGTTGGGCGGCGGCGCGCGGCCCTCGCCGGCCACGGCGCACACCGAGCAGTTGCCGGTGCCCGGGTTGCCGGTGTAGTCGTACTCGAGCTCCTTGATGCCGTTGGAGGAGTAGTAGAGGCCCAGGCCCAGGCCGATGAAGGCCAGGCCCGCGCAGAAGAAGAGCGGCAGCGCGATGCTGGCGGACAGCAGCGGCTGCCAGGCCGGGAGGCGCTGCTGCGTGAACGCGGTGTTGTCGGGCTGGTGGGCGCCCCGGGCCGTGGCGCTCCAGGTCATGGCGGCCGCGCGGGGACGGACGCCCGGACGGAGCGTTGTCCCGGGCCAGCCGCGGGACGCCTCTCGCTTCGCGCTGGGCGAGCCCCGGGCTCCTCCCAGGCCCGGTTTCCCTCCGGCTCAGGTGAGTCTTTTGCGCTGGCCCCGCCTCCGCCTCCCGCACAGGTGAGTCTTAGTTCCAGGTCCTACGTGCGGTGACCGGACCCCTCAGTTCCGCCTCGGCCCAGGTGATCCGGGCCGCCCCGCCCCGGCGGTAACCGCGAGCCGCACCGCGCCCCGCCCCTTCCGAGGTGAGCCGTGCGCGTGCTCGTTACCGCACCTGGCGGCCTCTAGCCGCGTTTCTTCCCCGTCCGGGTCTGTCGGACGCCACTCCTCCTCCCCCAGGTAAGTGGCAGCCTGAGGCCGCCTCTGAGTGGCTCGTACCTTGCTCAGGTACCACCTTCCCTTCCGCCTCTCAAGTGACTAGAGTGGCCGGGCCATTCTTTCCCGAGATAATAGGCGCCTCAGCCTCCAGCAGAAACCCGCTGAGGGCTTGCACCTTGGTCCTAGAAGCTTGAAGATTTCAGGTTATTAATCCTCCTTTATTTGAAGAGGGGTGGGGAAGGTGACTCTAGACCCTTTTGCCTTTGTAGATTAATTTATGGACACTTTTCCACCGAGTTTTCAGCCTCAGATTGTAGCGCCCAGGGAGTTAAGCTATGATAAATCTTTTGGAATTCAATTGTAGCATTCAAATTTTAGGGAAAATATTTCTTTTTTTTGGCCAGATCCCCCAATCTGGTTGTATAACTAAGAAAGGCAGAAAGTCCTCTAAAAATAAAACGTCCCTTAAAGGGAATCAAAGACTGGAGAAACTAGAAAAGGAGAAAAATGCTTGGGACTACATATGATTTCTTTTTCTTTACAGATTATTTGCCCTACTGGAGAAAGGCTTGATACAAAGTCCCAGGAGACCTAGCTGCTATCTACAAAGACATTTGGAATGTTTGGCCTGAGGAGGTGAACTATAATGATTTATAGGACTTATTGTAAAAAGAACTCAAATTAACCCTGAACATTGACTGGGATTCTGGCTTTTGTATCTAGGCTGGTACAAAATACACAAGGGAGCATTGGAACATTTTGACTTTGTGCTAAATCTTCTCAGGTATCGATCGAGATGTTCTTGCTTCTCCAGCATATAAAATGCAGGTAATTTAAATGTTTTTTCTATTACACTTTTGCACTCAGCGTAACATATTGCATTTAGGAATTATTCAAAACCCATCAAAACTTGGAAAGTTAAAATACTCATTAAATTGAACAAGAATTTTTTTTTATCCTCTTCCACGTGTTCAGCTCTATGCTAATAAGACCAAAAAGGTCCCTTGACTCAAGGCCTTTGCAGTCTGTTAGGGAGCATATTACTTAGAAGTAAGAAATAATCAAAATAGCCAATAGATAGCATGTAATCAAGTCCCAAATTGTGCTTTACAGTAGTCACACTAAAATTAAAAGTAATATTATTTTAATAATGGAAAATTGATTCTATTTTATTTAATGAATGCAAGTTGGAAGCTTTAGCTGTTAGAGAAAATACTGAGCAGTCGAAGTAACTTGAGTTTCATCTCCCTCACTTCTTATGATATCACAAGAGAGGAAATTCCAACATTCTCAACAAGTTCCTATAGTGTGATCCATTCTCTACTGACCTTTTTTTTCCCCCCAATAAGATAAAAAGAATAAATAGTTCTTTGTGGGGGTGTGGCTAAGTTCCACCCTCCCCTCAATCATGGAGTCATCAGTCTGCTTGATACAGAGTTCACAGAACAAGTGTCTAGGAAGGAATTCAGTTCTCCCCACTTTAACTAGGAGATCTTAAGTCTAACCATTGCATCACCACCATACCCCTAAAAGCACAGGCTGTCATTGAACTCAGAGCCCTTCCTCCTCATCTGCTCTCCCTGGATGACCTAAAAGTATTAGTTTATTTATTCTGCTAATTAAGGTAACACTGAGTTCCAAAGGTAAAAGAGGAGAATATTTCAAGACAGGGAATGATGAACAGGGTTAACCACACAGTTCAAGGGAAATAAGAAATGAAAAGGAGTCACTGGGTTTGACTTCCGTGGGAACATTTGGACGGTGGGGTGGGAGGAGCCAGGCAGGAGGAGGCAGGTGCAGGGAAAGGGGAGTAAAGCCAAGGTAGGGAGGCTCTTTTAAGAAATGTGTGGGAAGGGGAGGATAATGGCAAGTGGTGATTATCTAGAAGAGTATATATCCTAAAGGAAAGGCTTCTCCTTAGGTGGCAGAGAAGTGTTTATTCGGAGGGAAGAAGATAGAAAGCACCTGAGACTGGAGAGAGGGCTGGCAAGCTTGCAGGCGGTACAAAGGCAGGAGCAGGCTGGAGGCACTGATCCACCCACTGGATCAACTGGTTCCGGAGAACAGGTTCAGGGTTATCTCACCCACAAAACTGGAGGGCAGGGAATAAGGGTGGTTGCAGAATGCAACTGGGGTTTGGGCCCCCGAAACTCAGGCTGGGAGAAGGCAAATGACTGCATGTGCCCAGCATATTGGGGTTTTCAGGGCAGGTGAAGTAGACAGATACAGCTTTGAGATATTTCAGTCCTTGTGGACAGGGTGGCCAAGGTGGTGAGCCTTAGTATTTAACAGAATGGCAAAGAAAGTGAAACCAAGTCTGTGTATTTGAAGAAAAGGAAGGGACCTGTACACTGGCAGTCCTAATGATGTTACAGTCAGGTGGCATGAAAACTGGGAGGAGGAAGCACTGGTATGAAATGGAATGTTAAAGATTTTGGAGGTGAGCAGCACCAAGATCCATGTATGTGTCGTATTTCCTGCCAACTTGTAGGTTCCAAAAGGTGGAAGACTGATATACATTGTTGTGTACCTCAGAGTTCATTGTATAACCACGTCTTTCATTTTATTATACATGTTATCATGATGTTTTAAAGGGCACGTAGGTCATGCGAATATTTCAGTACTGATAAAGTAAAAAAAGGAGTTCATTCTAAAAAATTCTTTGTTGCATCATCATTATTAAGAGAATTCAAAGGAAAAGAAAGGCATTTCTAATTGAAATGCTCCTAAAATCACTTTATTTTTCCATTTTATCTTCGAAATTTTATCCATATAAATATTTAATTTTTAATTGGTTGTGATTATGATAAAAATACAATTGTTATCACTCATCAAATTGCCTCCTTTTGGAATGAGATGAAGAATGAAATATTTTCCATGTTCCTTTGTGTTCTTCATAATTTTTTAATGGTTCCATAATTCTTGGCTCTATAATATTTAACTCCTCTCCTATTGTTGGATATGTAAATTATTTCTAATTTTTCAGTATTCCAAAGAATATAATAGTGGATGTCTTTTTCATGTATGATCTTTTCTTTAATTTTTTTCCTTAGAATAAATTTCTAAAAGTAGGAAAGGGTCTTAAAACTCAAAGTCTTTAAAGATATATCTGGCTAGAGTCTTTTACACTGCCACAACAATGTATTAATATATACCTTGCTACTTTCACCAAAATTTTGCCAACAAAATCAATTGCTAACCATAGAATAGATTTAGTTTATGCTGATAAACTATCAGATATTAGGAGAATTGTATAGGATAGGAGAAAGAATGCTGGCCTTGACATTAAGGAAGTCTAAATTTTGCTCTAAAGTTCTCCAGGAAATAACTGTGCAACCTTGGTCAAATCGCTTAACTTCTCTGGTCTCGTGATTGCTTCTCTGTACGGTTATGTTTGCCAAAATAATAGTTTCTCTTTCAAATCAAAGATTTATGTTCCTAGTCATCTCAATGGTCTTCCTTACAATTACTCATTAAATAAGTAGCATTTCTGTAGGTCAATCATTCTGTAAACGCTTTATGTACATTATCTTGTCTAATTTACACCACAAACAGAAGCAGTGGGTACAGTTATCATACCCAATGAACTGATAGAGAACTAAGAGTCAGGCTAATGTGATGAAGGCTACCCAAGTTCCCACAGTGGTAACCAAGAGGTAAGACTTTCAAAGCTCAGCTTAACCCTGGCATCCTACATTTTCAGCCACTACACTGTAATGTCTTGGCATACTTCCTCCTAAAAGATTTCAAAAGGCTTCAGCCTTAAACCAGTTTTCAGGGTTGCAGGTTTCTCTCATACCCCAAAGATAAGAGAATTCTGTATTGTTTATACAAAGAGTCACAGAACATCTGAGTTTCCTTTATTTTTGTTATTATAAAAGCTTTTGTTTTAAAGCAAACTTTTGTTTGGCATGCCCATTTCTCTTGCTAAAGTAAAAATAACTTCTCTTGTCTGGCTATACTCAGTTTTTACATTTATTTCATTTAATTCATGACTATTTATCTTACTGTACCAGAGCCTGGGTTTTTAATTGGCATTCCCTTATATAGGTTTATACTGCTCAAGATTGTTGCCTATTACTCTGCCCATGGGGCAGGTTTTATTTAAAAAGAATCAAATTAAATTGCTTCATAAAATTACAGCATGTGTTCAGAAAAGTTTTTAAAAATTCAGTGTGCCTGGACTTCATTTTTCATTAAAAACTGCATTCAACAGACTTCCTGTTTCAAAAGTTATGGGGTGGTACCCCCTAGTGGAAGATGCAGAGAAACTTTGGTTAACTAGCCCTGTAAACCCTGGAGGTACAAAAGACAGACACAAATTTTCTCCACCACTTCTTGCTGCTGTGTGTTGGTTCCTTGTCACAAACTTACTGCAAAAGAGTGGAAGTCATCTGAGAGTGAACTGTGTGCAGAGTTGGGTGGGTTGAGCTGCAGGGGGCAGTATCTGATGGAAAATGGCACTGGGATGGACGACAATAGGTCTGAAATGGCAGAGGTATTGGGTATTAGCTGGTTAAAGACAGCAGATAAATCAGCAAGGGTGGGATTCGACTTGAACTATGTGGACGGAGTTTGGCTGTAGGGGTTGTACTTGGTAAGAGAGAGACCCAAAAAGAGGGAGAGGACAAGCTGGATGACAGAGGGGAAGGAAGAGCTGTGGAACTTGAAAGAAGAAAGGGGGTTGAGTCAAAACTGAATTAGACTGCCCAGCAGGGCAGGTGAGGGGGCATTATACCCAGGGTGAGAACCGGAAGAGGGAAGGGCACACTGAGACCAAGTATCTGTGGAGCCAGCCAATCTGTTGAGGCTAGAGGCCACCTCCTCTGTCATCCCTGTCCCTGCTGCAGTGAACCATGCTGATTTGGGGAAGGCCTCACCTCAGTGACCTCAGACTGGCTTTCCCTTTCATACAGTGACAGTATCTATTTAAAACTTTAGGAATTCCTTACTTATGTACCAAGAGTAAATAATTAGACATTTTTAAAATTTTAGAAGGTTATCAGATTTTTTGTTGGTGGTTTTTTGGTTTGTTTTGTTTTTTTACGACAGAGTCTCGCTTTGTTGCCCAGGCTAGAGTGAGTGCCGTGGCATCAGCCTAGCTCACAGCAACCTCAAACTCCTGGGCTCAAGCAATCCTTCTGCCTCAGCCTCCCAAGTAGCTGGGACTACAGGCATGTGCCACCATGCCCGGCTAATTTTTTCTCTATATATCAGTTGGCCAATTAATTTCTTTCTATTTATGGTAGAGACAAGGTCTTGCTCTTGCTCAGGCTGGTTTCGAACTCCTGACCTCAAGCAATCCGCCTGCCTCGGCCTCCCAGAGTGCTAAGATTACAGGCGTGAACCACCACGCCCGGCTGGTTATCAGATTTTGAAACTGAATAAAGTAAATATATGTTGTCACATCAGGGCAAAACCATATGTTCTAACAACCATAAACTGAGGAGCGAGGGCTGACATCCTCTTAGGAAAACTGAGGGGCTTCACAAGACCTGCTTAGGTGCTCTTCTCTGGCTGACATCATTAATAAGCTGAACAAACATACTTCTAGTTCCATTCTCTAGGTGACTGATTCAAATGTTAAAATACTTTGGCCCTAGGAACCTGTACTTGTCTTCTGTGCTGATCAATATTGACTTGTTAATATTCAATCTGGAGATTCTATATCCATAGAGGGTTGCAGGGGCAACCTGACTTTTTTTTCTCTGGATAGTAACTCTGAATTCATGGTGGTCAAGTTTAAATTTTTAAT